ATATATATACATACATATACACATTATAATTTGCCAAGAAGCTCCGGAGTCCCCTCGTCATCCTCATCCAGGCAGCATGCTCCTTCTTTTCTTCCGGACTCTTTTCCTTGGCCTTCTTCGGCACGGGCAAGGAGGGGGTCTCAGAAATGCCCGTGGTCTCAGAAATGCCCGTGGTCATGCGGCGGAGTCTGCCGACCAGCTCCTCCTTGGACATGGCCTCCAGCCCGTCGCTGGAGGAGGCCGGCTGGGCAGGCGGGTCCTCTCCGAATAGTGAATATTATATGTTGAGGGTTTAGGGGTCGGTGGCTTTTGGCTGATATCAATAAATTACATGCATACATCTGTAGATGGTTTATCTACTAGAGTAGCATGCTTTGGTTCATGAACAGACAGACACCTAATAAGCATATGGATATATAGATGTACGTAGGAGATATAATTCACAGATGTAGCAACAACTGGCCTGTCATTTATTATAATTGATGCACACTGGCGGGTCTCCATAGACATAATATGTATATATAAATATATATATATATAGAATATGCCTATACATATTTATCATATGATATATGCATATATATCTATCTACTTTATGCACATGGATATATGTACGTAGATTTGTCTAACCAGGTATTTATCATTACAGATGAAATTGAAGCAACATGTGCAGGTGTCATGGCAATCTCCTGCAAGTCCATCTTCTCCAGGTGCTGGGTCAGCTCCTCAACGACCTTGTCCGGGGCCGGCTTGGAGCTGTCGGCCTGCTTGAACAGAGATCTCGGGCATCTGTACTTGGCCAAGGTTCAGGTATCCAACCCAATGACCTGTGCGACTAGGTGCCTGAGCTGTCTCAGTGGCCTCGCCGATGGCTTTGACCTGCCGAAGCAGTACATACATTACACCGGCTACTGACCTATATATACATATATAGGTACACAGACACACAGTCATTCAGACCAGCCTCGGTCCTTTGGGTGGAATCCGGCTGGCTCGCCTGAACGTGTTGCTGCCCCACCCCCCCCCCCAACCCCTGCAGAAATAGTATATTAAACGAGTGTATACATGTATATCTACTCAGATCGTATGCTCTGAATCTCATGTAAGGCAAAGGAATATAAAATCGATAGATATTTATGTATCTATGTCTAAGACTGGTGTAGATGTACAGATACATATTTACATGTATGCATGCACTCCAGTATAAGTCTGTTCCACCTGCCTCGGCAGCCTCTTGGCTTGCCTCGGGCACAGCTGCAGCCGGCTCCTTCACCTGCATAATGCAGAGGGCTATAGACAGAAGTGTATATGCACGGTCAGGCCTGGACGTCCTGGATCGCCGGCAACGGCTTCGGCACAACTTCTGGCTTTGCCTTGATTATTGTATGTATTCCATCATCGCTGGCCGGGGAGTAAGGCGAATAATCTAGACGTGGACATAATATAAATTATGTAGACATATATACATGTACAACCACGTAGCCTGCCTCGGAGGCAGGAGCAGCACCTGCCGCCTTGTCTGGCTCCGGCTCCTGCTACTTCGGTTCAGCTTCGGGCGGGCTCCAACATGGCGGAGTTGTGTATATATATATATATATATACATATATATATATATATACATATATTTTACATAGAGACATAAACGAACATGCACTCCTCGACCTGGGTGGCCGGGACGTCAATCTCCATGGGCTCCACGGGCTCCAGGATCGTGGGCTGGTCCTCATCCGCATACTCCTGCAGGGTGTCATAGAACCATATATATATATGCATAAGTTTGTGTACATATAAAAAAGAGTTGGCTAGCTTCAGGTTTCCGTATTGCTTGCAATATCCTCGAGCATCACCTTCTCGAGCTGCACGTTCAGATCGGTAACATCCGAGGGCTTGGAGCCTGGACCAGAACATGTATATTTGTAGGCACATAGACAGACGAGACATATATATATATGTGTGTATATATATCTCTACATACAGGATATGTCTCAAGACACCGTATACAGGAAGGACTGCATGCATGAGCTAGAGGATACCTTTGTATATTCAGTACAACCTAGACATGTGCTGCATTGCTATATTTGCAATATAAAAGTATATGTGTATATAGGTCCATATGTATACATACAAGCATAGCAGTGTATCTATCTATCCATCTATGTATGTATATATATAGATATGTGTAGGTATATATCGGTGATGTAGAGGCATAAAGGCATACTTGTACATGTATGATGCACATGACAGTGGTGATGCTGTATATCACCGATCGTACACAACCATCATGCTTGATATCTCGCATAGTATCTTGTATAAACATATATATACGTATAGGAGCATGCATATATATATATATATATGTATATGTATACACATATATACACATAGTCCAACATACATATATGTAGGTATTCATGTACACATTTACATGTTCCAACTGTATCTTCGTACATCTACATGGCTTCTGTATATTAAAATATTTCCACCCACAGAGGCCTGACAACACCAAAGTCTCGGCACTGTCCAGCCGCTCGCCGCCCGGTCGGCTCTTCTTCGGGTCCGGGGTCTTCGTCGGTGTGGCCTGGACTGGCTCCGGCCGGACCTGCTTGGGTCCCCGGGACCTCTTCCGGGTCTGCTCCGGCTGGGCTGCAGCCTCGGCTCACCAATGAGGAAGCGACGTCTGGCTGAAATGTACAGGTAATGTATATTACATGGAAAGGTATCTACATATACATCTGTAGATGTCTCTAGAAGCTTGCGATTAGTGCTTATGGTCTAAGGTTTCTTAAGGTTTCGGGTGCAAGGGCCAAGGGTTTAGACACGAACCTAGAATGAGACAGTGCGAGCTGGAGACTCCAGAGCCAGACGAGGCCTTGGCCTTGGCTGATGCAGCCTTTGCCTTGGCCATCGTCTGCAGAAGTTGCTGCGACATCGCCGGCTTCTTCGGGGCCATGGCTCCAGGGGTTTCCAGGTGCACAGGGGAGCCCCAAAACGTCTGAATTTCAGCCCAAAAGCACACCAACGGAATCACAGGATTTCACGCGTTTTCACGCGGTTTCACGCCCAAATCTGCGAGGTCTTGAATTCTGAGGCCTCAAACTGTCAGGTGCCAGGATCCCAAGAACTCGGCCACGTGCCGTTTCACGCGGTTTCACGCTTTTTCACGCTTTTTCACGTCCCGAGTGTCCTCTCTGGATCTTGCATGTGGGGCCAGCACATCCTGTCTATGGCATATGTATGTCTGTTCCTACCATATATGTCCTGTTCTTGACGAGATATCATGTGTACAATGTATGCACATACCTCTATAGTGCAAGTTATGTATGTGTACATGTGTATTGGACTATGTACAGGCATGAAAAATGTCCTATGTATCGCAGGTTTCAGGTATTATGCTGCATATGCATGTTTCTCTTGACTCGAGCATGTCTGTGTACACAC